TAAAAAATTCGTGTTACGCTCTCAGCCTTATGAATAAAGTCTATAAAGCGCACAGAAATTAGTCCACAACATGGCAAATTTGGCAATTTTCAAACCCCCAGAATTTTACCAAAAAGTGATCGGAGGTAAAATATCTTTTTAGATTGGAATTCAAGAAGTTGATATCTAGGCAAAGATAGGCAAAGATGGAAGCGGCTGGTGGGAGCGAGGAGCCAAAGTCACGGCCAACAGTACAGGGAAGTCAAGAAGGAACTCTTCGAATAAACAACTATTTCTCAAATACTATAAAATTTTGCTCCGACCATCTGCAAAGCTGTGTGGAACTCCTTACTTCCCATGAATGGCGTGAGAGCCTTTCGCGGTTGATAATAAGAAAGTTATTTTTTCTACTAGAGATGTTTTATACAACCAATGATTGAAGCGCAGATCCCCAATAGCCGTTGCCGGAAGTTAATGGCATCAGCAATTGAATTAAGTTATGCTCGCAACCAATGGTGCAAAACATAAGCAAACTAATTTTATAGCCATCAAGTTTGAGAATATCTAACCCAACATACTGATTGTTTTCCTCTGATAACAACCTTAGATTTGCATCGAATATTTTTTCATAGCGTTTGGACAAAGAATTCATCAGCCCCACCGTCATAACCGTCAAGAAGGATCAGACGGTGAAACTAACATTAGATTCCAAGAAAAATAATAATAAACACATGAAAATTAAAACACAAAAATGAATATCAAATGCCCAATAATGAACTGTTGTAGGACAATATTGCACACAAATAATTAAGACGGAAGAAGAAAAGAAAACACTATTCTCGACACTTGATCTACGTTACGCATATTCACAAACCCCGCTGGATATCGAAAGAAGAAATCAATGCAATTTCAGCTTGATGGGGGCAAAGCAACAGGAACATACCAGTTCCAGACTGATTTTATTGCCTCACGGGTACGCCAGCCGAATTTTGAAAAGCTATTGATCTTACACTCACAAACTGTGAAACCACGTTTGCCCACCTTGATGACATACTAATTGTGACGAAAGGGTCAAAAGATACGCACAAAGAGTTATGATATTAGTTGCTAAGAAAATTAAATAAAGAAAGCTTAGCATTTTTGTTATATAAATGCAAAATCGCTTGTGAACAAGTCGAGTGGCTTGGCTGCAAAATAAGTAGCGAAGGCACAATACCGCTAGCACAAAAAACCGAGGCAATACAAAAGCCCCTGCACCAAAAATAATTAAACAAATAAAAAGCTTCATGGGGTCTATACATCATCTCATAAGATACATACCCAACCTCGCAAAACAGCATCCACACTAAAACCATTGCAAAAAAAAACTCAGACAAACTTAAAACGTTGGATTGTAAGCCGGATCACACATCCGCATTCCATAAAATTTTAAAACTCGTATCTGAAATTACTGAAAATAATCACATCAACCAAAACTTCTAAACCCAAGTAATTTGTGACGCATCCATATTTGGGTTAGGAGCTGCCCTAAAACAAAACACTGACAAGGTTGGGTAGCATTTTCGTGCGAGTCAAGGTTCTTGAATTTCCTCGAAGAAAAATGTTCAGTAAACTAGTTTGACTTATTAGGAGTCGTATGGGCAATTGCACACTTGAAATAATACTTATACGGGAAAATTTTCACGGACTATCAAGCTTCAATCAGCGAACGATCAAAGACTAGCCAAAGCAGGCTCACTAGGTAGATCGATATTTTTAATTCCCTTTACTTTGACAACAAACATTTGGCAGTAACAAAAATGGGACTAATAGACTATATGTCGAGAAACCCGTTAGGATTAGCATAACCCTCAGTGAGTATGATGAGAAATTTGATGTGGCAACAATTGACTTGTTTATTTCCATTCTTGAGTTGATTGGCAGCGTCATACTAAACACTCTAGTCAATCAGAATCGAGCTCCAAATTGGCTGTTCAAAAAGCGCGCGGAAAATGAAAGGACTGCAACAACTCAATTGAGTTTTCAAGTGCATTCCAAACATTCCAAACCTATCGCATGCGGTCATTGAATTCAGAAAAAAAACGGTCAATTGACCAAATTCACTCTCAAAAAGCAGCAGAAAAATTTTTACAAAAACAAAAAAATTCAATAAATTTTATATCAACGCCTGAAATCAACGCTGAAATCACGAGACGACGCAACGACACTAAGGTCTACAAAGAGATTAATCCCTGATAGCGCAAGGCCGCGAGGGGGAGGCAGCTCCTCAAAACCACGCAACACAACTCCTCGAGGACGAAACCCTGAGGATGTGCGGAAAAAATAATCAGATTGAGAACAAAGTCTGTCTGACCGCCGTTGGCACAGGAAAAAAATGACGACCACATACGGTTGCTAGACGACCCATTCAATGACAACAATCCCGCCCTAAAATGTGCAAGACATCAGAAAAGTAATCCCAAACAAGAAAACCTTAAAATTTCCAAAAACTGTGTAATCTAGCAGTCCACCAACAACGTCAAAGAAAAAAAGATCACATAGAAGTTACCAATTCCTCGATAAAAATGACTACACCCCACCGGATCATTATCCCGGATGTTACATTTCCAATGGTAATTACAATGACAGGATCAACAGCCGGAAAACGAAGAAGACACAATCCGAGTCAAACAGAACGGAGTCAGAAACACAAACATCAACAAAGACAAACTCACCACACCACAACGACGTGCAATTACAAACAGAGCCAACAGTAGAAGTAACCGAACAATACGAGTATTGTGTCAGTAGAGTCGACCCACAAAATTTTTGCCCCGAAGAATCTTCGCCAAACGAGGCCCCGATGACAATGTGCGGTTCACAACTAGAGGCTAGCCGCGAACTCATTGTGGCAAGTGTGGTGGAAACGACGGACCGAGCAATAGCAACAGAAGCAGAAGAGATCACACCACTCTACCAGTAGAAGTTACAGAAAGTTATGGGAGTAACATATATAGCCTCGGCCACCCGCAAAGACAGAAACGCCAAACCAAGAAAATAATTTCGTTCAGAAACGGGACAGGGAATATTGAAACTTGCATATGGCGACTATTGGTACAACGTAAGAAACCGAATACACGTCAAGGACTACTGTCTACCTATAGATGACCGGTTCGTAATCTCACAGCAATTGCTTCAAACTATCCTGTAGCGCTTGCACCTAACCCATCCAGAAGCGGCGGCAATGCTCGACCTGTGCCAAAAAATCTCGTTCCCCCACTTACATTGCTCAATCGTCCATGTGGGCAGAATTGCAGCTAATGCACCGAACAAAGTCAAAATTTAAAAGCAGCAATAAGAAAACTGCAGTAATTCCAAATGGAACCGGTGGTTGAACTAATTTAGGAAATACAATTCGATTTTTCCGGGTCCCTCCTGGACGAATTAAAGACACTTAAAAACACTTTAGCAAAAGTAGTCTCAAATTAACGGCAGATATAGCAAAAAAAAAATATGGAAAGCTACATCTCGAATAATGGGGTACCCAGAAAGCTAGGGTGTGGTCAAACTCAAACGTTTAGAGCTAAAAAGTTTCAACTCTTCTGTAAATCTAACAACAAACTTCTTTTTGCTCCGGTGGATGATCACTGATCCATTACAGATCCGTAAGGGTTGTAGAGTGTCTGATTCAAACACTAACACGAAGGTTGTGGGTTATGAGCATAGACGAAAATAACTCCCCATATAAGTTAGCTTCAGACGTCGCCGAAATATATTTTTTTTAAATAACAACACCGCACTATGGTCCGGAAGCCCAACACTTCATTATCCAACATAACAACAATTAGTTCAGCAAATACCTTAGCTGGGAAAGCGCAAAACACGCTGATTTAGATCAAAAAAATCTGATGCATCCTCCTCTACAGCCGGAAATCAAGCACGACGTTCAACGATGGTCTGAAAATGAAGTGAAGTTAACACTACGGTCCATAAAGAACCTTCCAGAAATATCAAATACGACCCTCAATGACGGAGAATCCTCCACAAAAAATAGCACAGGTGTGAGAACAAGGCATTCACTAGCTAAGATATAAAGGAACACAAACAAAAAGATGGAATCCAACATCAAAAAACATAAACAACAGGTAGCTAGAAAGACAGTCCATCTCGCAACAAAAGTTAGAGACCCTTAGACATTTGAGCAAGAGTACAAAAGGTAATCAATGGTAGAAAATTAACATATACACAGCACACAGCTTGGGTACAAACTAAGAAAAAATACCTCGCTTACTGAAAAACAACCCCAAAACCGAAAAAACCAAGCCCAAAAAAATATGGACCGTGCAGACCTTCACAGCTAAGTGATTATGTGGCAAACAAATCAGCTAGGAGAACAGATCCCTGCTTGCGTTTTTTAGACATCGAGCAACTAAACGTGCTACAGCACGAAATGTTCCATAAACTGCAGTTGATCCATAAACAGACAAGATGATCAAGGCACTCTTGCAAGAAGAGAAGAACTGTAGTTATCATTATGAAAAAGTGTCACCAGGAGACAATCGATTTGGATTGTTAGAGCAATTGACATCAGAGCACTGAATCAATCTAATAGTAAAATTTAATATCAATTTGAAACTCAAAACAAGAAGTGCACATCCTAAGTAAGACTTTATGTTTGTCATGGTGATATGAAACTCGATATCTTGCTTATCTGATAAACAGGTGCTCTGCATCAATTTTTTCCAGGGGTAATGTTCATCGTCAAAATTTGGTTAATATGGGTTTTTTGTAGTGATTTGGGAAAGCTCAGCAAATCAATTTGGACGACCTAAAAAAAAGGAATTTTTCTAAATATCCGCCCCTTCGAGCGAAAATGTCTTAGATCCGCCCCTGAATGAAGTTCTATTTTGATTTTTTTTCTCTTTTCTTTTTTCAACAAGAAATAGAGGTTTCATATTACTTTGCCAACTTCCAAACTTAGAATGTGATTTTTTAGAAAATGAGGGAAAACTTGAATCAAAAATATAAAAGGTTTGGCATACCAGGTATGATTTGGCGTATGATTTGAACTTGAGCAAGTTTGTCTGCTTGACCAGGCTTCCATTGAATTCAACGAGAGGAGATTGGGTGGTGTTGACGAACTGGTCACAGTTCTTGTAGAACCTCCTCTCTCGGAACCGCAGGTTGGCTATCAGTCCAGTGGATTCAGTTACGTTTCTAAACACACCTTGAGAGTGGTTTCTCAATCCTCATTTTTGTGGTTAAGACCACTTTTACGGGTTCCCTTTGTTCGATGGTGAAATCTATGTAAATTTGGATCAATTTTTTTCACTATTTTTACTGAATATGATGAGAATCTGAAGCAACCAATTAATGGGTTGAAAGTACTTGAGTTTGTGCGCGTCAAAATTGAGGCATGTCAGAGTGAAATGAAATGAACCGATGCTAGGCAGTTCTAGGGATCTCTTGAAAAAACCAAAGGACTAAAACCAAAAATTTTAGCGCTATGAGAAAGTCTTTGATAGTTCGACCAAATAATAGTGCTTTCTCGCTTTCTCAGCGGTCTCAAATGTTTACCCGAGAAAATAGTGTAAGATTCCTATCAAAACTGCAAAACTTACAACAACTTACAATATATACATTACAGTTTGACTTGGAATATGTCAAACAAGACTGCTCGTATCAGGGCGAAGCACTGGATGATCCGAATGCCTCTTAAAATCTATGGAATAGTGTTCACTTTTAGGGAAAAAATGATAAAATGTTCAACAAAAAGGGGGAAAAATGAAAACATTTTTTGATTTTTTTTTGAAAACCATCCCACCACACAATATGTTAAGTACAAATTGATATATTTTAGTTATTAAAGGCTAAGCAGCATGTCTCAATACATACAATTTGGACCAATTTCTAAGACTGCTTAAATCTCAGCTCACGCGTTACAAGCGCGATATATATCACCCCGGGTTGACCAAAACTTCTTATCATACAATTTTCATATATGAGAAACTTCTTGTCATACAATTTCATACAATTCCATACGTACAGAAAATTGTATGAAAACTCTATGATAAGCATTTTTCCATATATGAAAATTGTATGATAGGTGTTTTCCCATAAACCAAAAATTTTGATTTTTTCTTAATGAATTTAGTTTCTGAAAAATTTTCGGTTGTGTTTGCAACCGAACACAAGTGACAAAGACCTTGGTTACTCAAAACACCAAAGGTTGGACGGTCCTGCATTTACAATGCGTAGAAAACGACCTGAATTTGGCTGTCTTTCACAATTAATATAACAAAAGTAACAAACTTTTCTTTTTTGGCAAAATTTTTTAATGATGATTATTTCAAATTTGTGAATTTTCAAATTATCAGACATTGATCAAGGCATACATTAACACCCCATACAAAAGAAATAGGAATTTTCAGCGTTTTTGAAAAAAAAATTCAAGTGAAAAGAAAATAAAATCCAATTTTATCGTATCCAGGACTACGTTATGCACACAAAACATTAAATTTTGCATGCAAAAAATTTTTTTCGAAAAATGTTTGTTTGCGTACGAAATTCGATTTGCGGTTGAAAAAAAAACGTAAAATTTTTTGGGCCAAATTTGCAAAATTATTTTTGTGTCGCCATCAAAAAAATGCCAGTCATACAATTTCCATATATGGGAATTGTATGATAAGCATTTTTTTTCAAAAAACGAAAATCTCAGTTTTTTATCACCAGACTGTTTTATTAGAATCAAACAGCCACAGAAATAAGTTTATACCAGTTTTCAACCATTTTTAGAAATTGTATGAAAATTGTATGACAAGCATTTTTCCACACACTTGATGTATGGAATTGTATGATAAGCATTTTCGGTGTATGGAGGTCAACCCGGGACGCTTTATTTGTACAAATTGACCAAATTAGCATCGTTTAAAACCACATAACTTTACAAACAAGACTGCTCGTATGTTACCGCAAATACTGAATGGTCTGACTGAACTCGGTTGTCGATCAAGATGAAGTGTTTTGCCCTGTAAAATTGTTAAAAAATATTCAGACTAATGAGATAAGGTGATTTTGTTTGAAAATTTCTCGCCAAAAAACTATACAAAGTACAAAATGGTATGTTTTGGCATTTGTTACCTTCTAGGACGAGGAAATTGTTCGCCTCAATTTCATTTAGAAAGAGTTAATTAGCCGCCTACACTTTGATAGAACGAAATATATTGCGCGTTAACTATTCCAATTTGAATTATAATCTTTATATTATAATTGTTTAAGTCTCAAACTTAAATCATTAAAAATGTCTGAAAAATAAACATATAACTGTTACAACAACAGTAATTTTCAGATGATATAAGAAACTCTGACAAAAAATTCAGCTAAAATGTCGAAAATTGACTGAGTAAAAAACACCACAAGCATAGAAATTCCTCACTTTTTTCGTCGAAAGTCAAATCAAAAATGGTTACAACTAAAAATCTTTTTAAATTTGAGCTCAAGACAACAAAACTTTTCGGATGCTATAATAATAATCGTAATATATTACAAGGCTAAACTGTGCACTTGATAGGCGCACATTTTTGTGTCGCTATGTTCCTGGATTGCAGAGACAAGTCATTAAACCTGTCAAAATTTTGTCGGAACGATCAAAGAAAATGGCAGAACACAAGAACAATAAAGGGAGCGTCTTTGTTCCGGAATCCGCTTACAAATCACAAAGTACACAGTTTGGCCTCGTAATAATTGTGGTTTCTGCAATTCGTATAGGATCAATGAAACGCTATCCAGCCTGTCTAAGCATAGTCCGTTTCTCTGGTTTCCCCACGCTCCAGACTGAGAAATCTTGCTGAGCTAAACTCTTTTTTGCGCATCATAACCGTTTTTTTCCGTCTAGAACTTCTATGTGCTACCATTTTTGCAGCCGTATTTGGTCAGGCTGTGGCAGACTTGAAGCTAGAGGTCAAGTGAGAGCTCGTCCTCATACACTATCAATTCTATGACATGGGATCGTTTTCACGCTCTGACGATATGAAAAGATCCGTCAAAAAATGCTCAGTTGAAAAGTCGAAAAATGTCTTGAGAAAAAAACATCCCGATCACAAATATTCCGTCACTATATTCAAAAGTTGGAACAAAATTCAAAAAGAAGACTTATTTGGAAGAACTCGGAAAAGGGGCCAGTAGTATGAAAAAGATATGGGATAATTCCTTCAAAAATGTTTGATGGAGGCTGAGGAGCCCGTAACCATGCTACAGTCGCCACAATGTTATATCTAAAAGTCAATTCCATTTTAATATCTGGAGCGAGGAAACATTTTTTGAAGTTGTTCCAACTAGTGGATGTAAGGATGACTTGAACAATTCTTGGTCTTTTCAAGCATGGACAAACATGAACTCTCTGTCCTTTTGGTTGAAACCTTCAAAATTATATTCAATGCTTTTGAGTTAGAATGCAAGTGCTCTTGAAATAGATCTGTTCTGTAGAAGGCGTTACCTTCAAAATAAGTGGAAGGGGCTGCGGAAATGTTATCCTCGTGTACTTGTCAATAGTTTCGCATTAACATTTAAACCATTCATTTCAGCGACCAACCTTATTTTAAAAATGCAGCAGATAAATTTATCAGTTTTTCAATTTTGTGTTCTAAGTGACGGTCTTTCAGAAAGTAGTGAGAAAACTGTCCATATCAGAGCAAATTCCTGAATCTTAACAATTACTTTTCACGGGTACGATATATTTGTTTTGGATAAATATTATATTGAAAAATTGAACAAGGATAAAGTTCAGGAAAAACAAACTAAAAAAATTTTGCGTGCAAAGTGATATTTTGCATATACCAGATCTTATTAGGACCAATTAGATTGAGCTACCCTCAAATTTGGTGGGAATGAAATTTGGAATGAAAATTAGTAGCTGGAAACTAGAGATTTCGCTAACATTAGGGATTTTAAATGACCAAATTAGCTGTTTTTATAAGCCCCCTAGTTTTATAAAACTTCATTGAAAGTAAAACATTTTTTGATTTTAGTTCAAAGCATCAGTATCTTTCGGACTAATTTAAAAGTTAAAAATTAATTTTAAAAAAATTCAATTTTTCTATGAAAAAAACAAAGCCTGAACTTTAAGTCACTTTTTCAGGAATAGAAAAACTAAATTTTTTCTAATTGACTGGGGTAGCGATCCGCGATATTTGCACATTTCTAATTCCAGTGTATATTTCACTTTGCGCTTTTTTCTTAAAACAGTTTGTAACCTTTTTGCGACCAAACCAATACTCGTTTCTTGTCTTGGATAATGAAAGCTAATCAAATGCTCATTCCTAGACAAGAATAACCAGTTGCTTTACAGACAGCACAGAATGTTAAGACCACATTAAAAAAAAACGTTTTTTATTTTTTTTTCAAGGTTTCTTTTTGTGTCGTTGTTTGTATTTTTTGTGAATCTGATTAGAAAACTGTGCAAAAACTTAGGTAATTAGTGAAGAAGAAATTTTCGACAATAGCTGTCTAGGAAAGTATTAATAAACAACAAATCAAAAAAAAAGTTGGCGCAAACGATATTTTAATTTTTAATTAGGGGTCCAACTTTGATAGCTAAGTTTAACCCAATGATGTCCAACTTGTTCAATGCATTAGCTGGAGTAAAAGGTAATATTCAATTGTTAAAGCTTAATCAAAATCATAAAAAATTCTTCATCCTCAGTTAGACTTACAGATGAAGAATTCTTTTTACAAAAACGTCACTTGAGAGGGCGCCGTAAGACTAATTTAAGCGTTTTCAGGCGTCTCAGAGCGAGAATCAATTTTTTCTACTACACTTGTGGTTGGGGGAATGAAAACTTTGCGATGCGAGCCCAGCTTGATCACGAAAGAATAAAAGGGTAAAAGTCTTACTGTTTGACAGAAATTGCGGGCTTACCAGAATAATCCTAATAATAATCATAAAAAGAAAAAAATGTTGTCGAAAAACAGTGAAAGAGGCAATTACAGATTTGTTGTAGTTTAACTACAAAACAGCTTATTTATCATATCAATATTAACTCGAATATAGTTATCTAAGAAATGATGGTTGAAGTTGTTTAATTCCTGACTATAAAACTTTTTTTTATCATTTCTGCAAAATTCGGAAACAAAAGGAGCAAACGGTTGAAAAATACTTGCATTCCGGGGCAGCAATCGAGTGCTTTGATGCAAATTTTGAGTGCATTACGACAGCTCTCGTTTTATTTCTTTCAGTTTAAATTTTTGTTGCAGTTCTTTAGTATTTACTTTTTGCAAAGTTTCAGATTGGCTTTCACTCCATTTAATTTGCACAAAACATTTAGCAGTTCATCAGTATGAAATTCCATAATAGAGAAAATTTTATATTGTTGTGTTATATTTTTAATTGATCCGTTTTTTTTTTCGTTTTTTTTGTAACACATGGTTTTTATGAGACGTTTTAGTTTTTTAAAACTTAATTTGGTTTTAAACATTAGAATAGCCAATTCTACAATTTCGCCTTTTTGATAAAAACTGTTTAAGAATTGAATTGTTGTTTGCAAGAGATCGGCGTGAAGTGAATTTAGGCAACTAAATTTTTATCCAACAATAACTGAATTGAAATTAACCGAATTAAAAATTTTAAAATAGTCGCAAATTACAAGTTTCTCGAAAAACGCTTTTCGAAAATGGTGAAATCTTTCTGTTTTGGTAATTTTGTGTTAAGGTTGAGCTCACAGCATCAGCATTTTTAGCTGGTAAAAGTGTCCATTCAGAACAGTTCAAAATTCAAGTTTAAGTTTAAATGTCTGTCGAAAAAATTAGCCGCACCGAGCGCAGATATTTTGACACTTTTTTTGGAAATTCTGTTCAAAAAAGGTACATAGCTTGATTGTTTTTCAACTGAATATTTGTTCTGAAGCTTTATGAAAAACGTGTTTGTTCCTTTTTGAAACAAAACTGATTAAGAATACTGACTGTACTAGTTGAGTGAGTGCTTTGGGGACTATTCGGTCTGTGACGAGGAGTTCATCGGTGTCGATGATGAGGATGTGTTGGTACTTGAACATGTTGCGATGGAGGCAGTCGTTCAGCCCCACCAGCTGCAGAGACTGAGACTTCACCCACAACTGACTCTCAACGGAGAGGGGAGTGGAGGAGGGATAATCATCATCCGGGGAAAAGAAGGAGTGGTTTCTAGAACAGTGCACCCTGGATTCACTCACTTTCTGTTCCTCAGTTAGACTTACAGGCAATTACAGCCTACATATTTTATGGTTGTTTGAAGCAAAAGTATGTAAGTTTTCATTAAAAGGAGGGAGGTGAAAGAGTTCGAAGTGTTGAGACAAACTAAATCAGCTTTTGTGTTTAGCTTAAGCAATGAAGAAGAATCAGAGTTTCACCCGCGACTATAGGAGACAAAATAGACTTTTTCAGCTATTGAGTGATTGAGTGATTGTTTTTGTTCTGTTTCTCTTTCTCTTACCCCGAGGGTGTGGGTATGGTGATGGCCGGTTGGAGCTCCACCACTCCCATCTCCCTGTACAGCTGGACCAGACTGAGTGCCTCGGGGGCCATGGCAGCCCCCTCCTCCGTCGACACCCTCACGTGGAACTTCTCCACCCCCATGTACTTGTGGTACTCAAACCTAACCCCAAACCACAACTGTTTAAACATCACTTCACATTTGAATTCTGAGTGAAATATACATGGTAAGTTTTTTTTACCATATTGTCTAAGCGCTCTTACCAGCGGTGTATCTAGGATTTTTTGATTTTTTATTAGTTTTTTAAATATTTTTCAATAAGTTGACCCAATTGGTTTTCCAGGCCTCCAAAAATACTATAATCAAAGCATCAAGCGAAAACTTTTTGAAAAAACGACAGACCAAAAATGCTGTTTTTGACCATTTTTTGAAGTGTCGCCCACTAATTCGATTTTTTTGAGCACGCTCTCCTCTCAAAATAGCTTTGTATTGGCTCCAAAGGCTCCTTTGCAAAAAAGTAAGTTATCGCCGGCAGAAATTGGATGTAGTCAGATTGTCTCAAAGAAGGGACACTTTGGTTTTTGAGAAAATTAGATATTGACAACGCATTTATAATATTAATGAAAAAACACTTTGATATCCGTAGTCAAACGATAGCATGAGTCGGCAGCAAAATTTGTGATAATTTTAAAATAAAATCGCAATTGTAGAGTGAAGTTACCATTCGATGAGAGTGGACACTGATGTTGACTCCTGGCCCCTGATGTGGTACCAGTTGGACCCACAGAACCCAAGAGCCCTCTTCTCCCTCGGCCGGCTGATCTGCTCCACGGGAAGCACAGGCGACCTCTGCTTGTTCCACACAATCTAAAACATACAGTCGCTTCACAGTAATCAGGTGGCGCCATGCAGTTGGCCTTGAAAAGAAAGGTAGAAACCAGAAGAGTATGAACCAGGCATTCGTGAAATAAATTGTTTCAACCAAGTTGGCTATTCTTATTAACGATTGAGCTCAGCATAACAATAGTTGCATCTTCATTTTATTTTTCACCTGTTTGAGACGTCCAGCATCCTATAGTTTCAGTTTGCAGCAAACTATCCGTCAAAAAGTATGGAATCATTCTGAACATCTTTTACTAGGCAATCTCTTCAATGCAGCTCTAGTTTACTTTTTCACTTATTGAGAGTTAGGAAATTAGGCTGCGTTAAGAAAATTAGGTGGTCGGAACTGTCTTCGACTATATACTCTAGACGCTAAATATGAGGATCTCGTTTTGATATCCAGATTAGAGATGATGATTCGATAAAATAAGTGAAGTATCTTAAGAGTTACCTGAAAGTTTTCTACAGGTTGTGTAGTGTTAATTTCACATCTGAGAATAAATTCCCCGAAAATGGCACCCTTGTACTGGAACTTGTACATGATTCCCATTTTATGGACCAGTGCTTTCACATTCGTCTCATTCACGAGGCAAAACAGTTCCTGCAGTTGCGGCCGATCTGGGGATGAAATGTGGCTGACAGCAGAGTTCTCGACCAGCAGCAACGCCGTCACTCGAGTTCGGTCGGCCACCAGTCTCGTGTCGTGATATGCTCGGAACATGTGAATGATTAGAGGCTTGAAGTCTTTCGGCAAGCTTGGCTCGGATGGCGAGAGATCAAAAGTGATAAACTGGTCATTGGAGTCCACTGGACTCTAAATTGAGAAAAACATTCTGATTCAGGGGGTATTTATGCAGGGGACGCCCCCTTTCAGGGAACCGACCCCTGAGCACTCACGATAGTATGTTTAAAAAATAACTTTTTGAAAATCCGCTCCTCCCCTTCGATAAAATCATAGATCCGCCCGACTTTATTGGCGAAAAAAAAACAGTTAATTTTGTGAACTTACTTGAAATCTTGTAAAATTTGTTCAATATATACCTAAAAAAGATTTTGCACCACCAAAAATGGTGTATTTTTTTTAAAATTTAGTCAAGGTGATATCCATCGAAGTGATTGATAATGGTACGGCCTTACATGTTGAACTTACCAGCAATTCTTCTCTTAAATGGTTCATTCTGCTAATAAGTTGAGACGGCGAATGAAGATAAAAGAAAAAAGCATCCACGAACTTGTTTATTTGTGTAACAATGTAGACAATAAAGAGTGTTTTCACTGCACGTTTCGTTCTCCAAATCATACTTTTGTCCTGCTGTAGTTTATTGCTACTTTTAATTTTATCTTACATTTTGCAGAAAACAACTAGGGTCTTCATAAAATTTACCATTTCGCAACAAAAGACAACTTGCAACAAAAGTTTCAGGAAAGCGACAACTCGCAAGGATTGAAAACTACAGCTTACAAAATTCCAGTTTAAGGTCAACGATGGAAGTTGTCTTTTACGCTTATAAGAGCTCTTTGCTTTATCTAGTGATGATTTTCTTGGAAAGTCAATGTGGAAAAAATACCTATAGCAGGATCCACCTGCACCGGAGTTTCAAGGATACAAATCAATTATCATGGGAAAAGATTGTCTTAAATATTGTCTTTATATTCCATTTTTGTTGCAAATTTAGACCACAAAATCAAGTTTATTGCCATTACAATTGATAACTTCCGTAAAAACACTATCCGTTAACATAATAATCTTTAAAAAAATCATAATACTTATTCATTATAATTTATAATATAATCCATTTAAAATCCATTTAATTGACTATAATGGATACAATCCCTCTTTTTTTTGCGAAAATATTTGCAACATTTTCAACAACTTTTGCTATACTTACGACCCACTCGAATTCTGAACTTGATCAAATTTTATAATACCCATAGGGGGTGTGAACGTAGGGGGGGGGGGGGGGGGGGCAAAAATATGGCTGTAAAGGCAGTATTGTAAGCAAATAGGATGTGTACTGGAGAATGACAAAAGACGATAGTTGAGAGTGAATTGAATTAGGGAGAGTAAATAAAGACCAGCAAAAAACGAGAAACCAGGAATTTTGAGAATAATTTGTGTGCCAAAAAATGAAAACAAGTTAAGTTTATTTTTATGTCAAATCAAATCTCGTTTTATCTATAACGTGTATCAAACCGTTAATTTGTGAATATACTGCATTGTGTTTGAAATTTCAGAATATCTTTCAAAAAGAATGATTATGATCAATTTTAAATGATTATAATCATTGAAATTGATTTTTTTTTGAATTGACAAAAAGTCGAATTTTGATCCATTTTTAATCAAATATAAACATTTGTGTTCAAGGTTTTTAGAGACTGACAATAAAAGTTCAATAAAAAGAATAAAACCTATGAAGTTCTCAAAAGGGCAGCCACTCAAGAATGTTGGAAATTGTCCTGCAAAAACAAATTAAAACTAATAAAAATAAATAGTGTTTTCAAAGTATATGAGATTTTATTGTCGAATGTTTAAATGCTTGCAATCATTTGAAAAAAAAAGTTTTGTTAAGGTTTTTCATGAAAGTTACTAAAGATCAGTCAAAACAAAATTGTTATACTATGAAAAATTTAACAATCCTGTTTATTTTAGTTACGAGAAAAACTTAAAAATATATTGACCGACAGAGACAAAATGGAGCTTTGCATTTTTTTCCAATAAACCATAGCTTACCATAGCAAGCGGCAGGAGACAAAATGAGAGATCAAATTGCTCAAAAAAGAAAAAATAAGAAAATATCATATTAAATAGTGTCCAAGAAGACTACCTATACCAAAACTTCATAGATTTGTCTTAATGATTTTCAGTTTGAAGAGGAAATGCCAATGAACACAATACACAGAATTGAATCAGCCGGATAAACTGACATTATCGGGCGGCAAATAAGCCGGCGCCTTTTGAGCCGAAAACAAAATCGTTGTTAAAGTCGCAAAGTTTTAATCTGTTTTTTTTTTCAACATCTAAAAGTTTTTCAACATCTAAGAAAAATCAATTAAGTTTTGACTGAAAAGAGCTCAACAAAGTTTGAAACTCAACCCAATTTGACAATTATTTTAGGTGCTCGCTTTTACATTGACAAAAATTTTTGGCTTTCACAATGCGCTGGAGGAGAAATGTGGAAATCCCATCTCAGGATAATCTAGCCTTAAATGAGGCTATGTGGTGAATTGATAGTCATTTTTTGGCTTTCAAAACGCTGGGAGGAGAAATATGGAAAACCCATCTCAGCTTAATCTAGCCTTGAATGAGACTATGTGGTGTATTGATAGTCATTTTTTGGCTTTCACAATGCGTGGGAGGAAAAATGTGGAAAACCCATCTCAGGATAATCTAGCCTTAAATGAGACTATGTGGTGAATTGATAGTCATTTTTGGCTTTCACAATGCGTGGGAGGATAAATGTGGAAAACCCATCTCAGGATAATCTAGCCTTAAATGAGACTATGTGTTGAATTGATAGTCATTTTTTGGCTTTCACAGTGCGTGGGAGGAGAAATGTGGAAAACTCATCTCAGGATTATCTAGCCTTAAATGAGACTATGTGGTGAGTTGATAGTCATTTTTTGGCTTTCACAATGCGTGGGAGGAGAAATGTGGAAAACCCATCTCAGGATAATCTAGCCTTAAATGAGACTATGTGGTGAATTGATAGTCATTTTTTGGCTTTCACAATGCGTGGGAGGAGAAATGTGGAAAACCCATCTCAGGATAATCTAGCCTTAAATGAGACTATGTGGTGAATTAGTCATTTTTTGGCTTTCACAGTGCGTGGGAAGAGAAATGTGGAAAACCCAACTCAGGACGATCTAGCCTTAAACGAGACTATGTGGTGAATTCATAGTCATTTTTCGGCTTTCACAATGCGTGGGAGGAGAAATATGGAAAACCCATCTCAGCTTAATCTAGCCTTGAATGAGACTATGTGGTGTATTGATAGTCATTTTTTGGCTTTCACAATGCGTGGGAGGAAAAATGTGGAAAACCCATCTCAGGATAATCTAGCCTTAAATGAGACTATGTGGTGAATTGATAGTCATTTTTGGCTTTCACAATGCGTGGGAGGATAAATGTGGAAAACCCATCTCAGGATAATCTAGCCTTAAATGAGACTATGTGTTGAATTGATAGTCATTTTTTGGCTTTCACAGTGCGTGGGAGGAGAAATGTGGAAAACTCATCTCAGGATTATCTAGCCTTAAATGAGACTATGTGGTGAGTTGATAGTCATTTTTTGGCTTTCACAATGCGTGGGAGGAGAAATGTGGAAAACCCATCTCAGGATAATCTAGCCTTAAATGAGACTATGTGGTGAATTGATAGTCATTTTTTGGCTTTCACAATGCGTGGGAGGAGAAATGTGGAAAACCCATCTCAGGATAATCTAGCCTTAAATGAGACTATGTGGTGTATTGATAGTAACTTTTTTGGCTTTCACAATGCGTGGGAGGAGAAATGTGGAAAACACATCTCAGGATAATCTAGCCTTAAATGAGACTATGTGGTGAATTGATAGTCATTTTTTGGCTTTCACAATGCGTGGGAGGAGAAATGTGGAAAACCCATCTCAGGATAATCTAGCCTTAAATGAGACTATGTGGTGAATTGATATTCATTTTTTGGCTTTCACAATGCGTGGGAGGAAAATGTGGAAAACCCATCTCAGGATAATCTAGCCTTAAATGAGACTAGGTGGTGAATTGATATTAATTTTTTGGCTTTCACAATGCGTGGGAGGAGAAATATGGAAAACCCATCTCAGCTTAATCTAGCCTTGAATGAGACTATGTGGTGTATTGATAGTCATTTTTTGGCTTTCACAATGCGTGGGAGGAAAAATGTGGAAAACCCATCTCAGGATAATCTAGCCTTAAATGAGACTATGTGGTGAATTGATAGTCATTTTTGGCTTTCACAATGCGTGGGAGGATAAATGTGGAAAACCCATCTCAGGATAATCTAGCCTTAAATGAGACTATGTGTTGAATTGATAGTCATTTTTTGGCTTTCACAGTGCGTGGGAGGAGAAATGTGGAAAACTCATCTCAGGATTATCTAGCCTTAAATGAGACTATGTGGTGAATTGATAGTCATTTTTTGGCTTTCACAATGCGTGGGAGGAGAAATGTGGAAAACCCATCTCAGGATAATCTAGCCTTAAATGAGACTATGTGGTGAATTGATAGTCATTTTTTGGCTTTCACAATGTGTGGGAGGAGAAATGTGGAAAACACATCTCAGGATAATCTAGCCTTAAATGAGACTATGTGGTGAATTGATAGTCATTTTTTGGCTTTCACAATGCGTGGGAGGAGAAATGTGGAAAACCCATCTCAGGATAATCTAGCCTTAAATGAGACTATGTGGTGAATTGATAGTAACTTTTTTGGCTTTCACAATGCGTGGGAGGAGAAATGTGGAAAACACATCTCAGGATAATCTAGCCTTAAATGAGACTATGTGGTGAATTGATATTCATTTTTTGGCTTTCACAATGAGTGGGAGGAAAATGTGGAAAACCCATCTCAGGATAATCTAGCCTTAAATGAGACTATGTGGTGAATTGATATTCATTTTTTGGCTTTCACAATGCGTGGGAGGAAAATGTGGAAAACCCATCTCAGGATAATCTAGCCTTAAATGAGACTATTTGGTAAATTTATAGTCATTTTTTGGCTTTCACGATGCGTGAGAGGAGAAACGTGGAAAACCCATCTCAGGATAATCTAGACTTAATTGAGACTATGTGGTGAATTGAT